CCATGTTGCTTTGCCATCGTGGAGCATATTATAGACCCCGGGAACAACATAACACAACACTCGCATACATTTGATATGTTATTGTTAACGTTTGCTTCGGGGTTTTGGGAATGACGTACTGAAACCCTTACGCATATGCATAACAATTAGTACATTCAGGTGTCCCGGATAACATATCACATTTTATTTGTCAAGTCTATTTTTGATACTAACTTCCTCATTCGGGTTCCTAGGAGGTACAATCATTCACTCAATGTGAATCAGACACTGGTTTAGGGCCATATACGTCAATGCGCAGTGAGCAATGGTGGCCATCAGTGTTCGTCGCATAGTTTCAATTCTGTTAATATTAGCAGTAATTGTGCGTGTTACAGGTAAGTTCCGTTATATACAATAATTGTATTTTCGCTCTTGTTCTGCGTTCCGAATAATATGGTTGGGAAGGGGGTTCAAGTAATGCTCAATTTTACTAATATATGGTGCATAGATTTGGTGGTATGATGTATCAATATAAGGAGTTGTATTTGTTCACGAACCTCAACTGTTTTTCTCGAATATCAGCATCATCAAAGGATGTATGCCGTAGTCGTTAAAGTAAATTAGAGACTGGATAAAAGACGGTAGCATAGTGTAGATTCTTTATTTGAATCCTAATATGAGTGGAAATATTTCTTGATTAAATCACAGTCACTCAACTAGGATCCTGGTAGAGTGACTGTGATTAAATGTGCTAACGAAAATCAAGGAGGACAAAGAGCTGGATATGTCGTTTGTTTTACCGTTTCAAGAGCCTCTGTGAAACAGCGTCACTTGCACCTCAATCACATAAATTTGGGAAATTTTGTGTTGTATTTATTTTTATTTGTTACACTATCTAAATCTTTGCCAGCCAAGGTTCATTTATTCGGCCGCCACCCACCATTATACCTTGTAGTTCCTGTTATCAACCTATATTCACTGTCGACGACATCGAAACAGCGGCGATTGCTTTGATGCGTTTCCATGGTAAGTCTGTTAAGCCATGACGTGATATAATACCACGAAATCGCTTGATCTAGAGACCAAATCCTAGACGATGACGTTTCCCCCCCCCCAGAATATATGATAATTTCATTTTTTGGGAAAACAAGGGACTTTCCCTTCCGAGTCCCAATGCTACAATACCTCGTAAGCACTGTATTGTCTAAAGCCACATACCAATGATGTCATCTGGCAACTCTCCATTATCTCAAGCTGACGGGTTATTTTACAATAATCTGGGGTCTAAGGCGTTTTTGGAGTATCAAGGCCATAACGCCAAAGTATCAGTGGTTTGAGTATACATCGTCCAAAATGCGCTGTTTTCTATTTCCGTGACGTTTGACATTTCTACAAGCAGAAATAATTTTCGATTTTTCTTTATAATATATATTTAATCATTTTCACGAGTATTTGGATATTAAAACATTCTGTTTGCTTGATTTTTGATTTTGGATGATATTGCGTTGTCATATCGAATGGGTGTATACATTTTGTGATGCTTTTTTGTGTTCCGACAACAATGTGAGGGCTATGCTTTCATTAAATACTTTTATCGACTTTTTTCCGTCACCGCATTAGCCGGCGCCATATACGAGTGTTACATATACGATTTGGGATATTTTTAAATTTAAGTCTCAGCCAATACTGCAACCAACTGTTCTATGTAATACTAGTATTTTCAACAGACGCACTAGTGCGGGAACAATCGATACAAGGCATGGATACATTGAACACGCACAACTTGAGGAGAATACAAATTGTTATAAGCAATAGTCCCTTGTTTGAGTTTGGATGCGTTACAGTAAGTCAATTTTCAAACTCGCTAGCGAATTGGCTCACTGCTTTGGTTGTGACTAAACAGTTGGGTTTCGAATCTCGCTGGCGCCGACTCGTGGTCGCGTTCACTCTGGGTGAGTCTATATTGCATTAGGGGAGATAGAATGCTTCTACGTAGCCTGATACATGTGTGGATTCCCCTGAATGAGTTGCTTTATTACGCGAGGCGGCATGATAATGTTAAAAGTAGATTTCCTGGTCAGCCTGAGAATGGCCACAGTCAGCTGGCGTACACGCGATAATATGATGAATGCGATTAATCTACCGATGTTCACTATATGAAGTAGCCATCGTGAACACTGATTGCAATTAAGTAAAGAGACGAGTTGAAAAACAGTTTCCTACAAATCAGGAAGAAAATAACAAACTTTCACATCCAAACGATCCGTTGGGGTAAACAAATCGACCTCATAAGTTCTTCGTTTTTGTTTGGGCACTCCTTTGTGTACGAACACCTCATTACACAAAGAACATAGAACACTCTGGTATTGTATAGTTTAGTGTATTTGAATTTGAAGTTGGAATGTACCAATGAAATCTTGAGTAATGTCCAATAATAACAACAACAAAACAATACAACATTCAGGACAACACAGTGTACAGTACTAAAACATATCAAGAATATATCAAATAAATTTGGACCAATGTCACTTATATTACGGAAATATGTTTGCATTATTTGATATCAAATCAATAATTATGAATTCATTTATACGTATTTAATATTGAATATTAAATATACAATATCGGTATTAATATATATAATAGTAAAACAATGTTACTCCTCTTTCTGTAAAATCCCGGACGTGCCGTATTTTGAAAGGGTACATCAAAGTACACATTTCATTCCCCTTCTTTTAATTACATCGAACGTAGCAACAATATAGTACGTTATGGGAAAAATAGACGGACATCATCTCGCAGATATTATTCTTTTGTTGTAACTAAACAAAGTAAATGTCTTTATTATATGACCCAGTGCTAAACAAAAAAAATATGCTAATAGATGTTTTTCACAACACTCATGTCATCTATTTGAACAGAATTAAGAGATACCCTAAACCCTCCACCCCTGTCCTGCATAAACTGCAATGTGTAGGATGCAACATATACATTCAGTATTTTAAAAAGTGATTTCATTCTCAGTTGTGGGGACATCTCCTTCCTAGCCCCCGAGCTCACTCTATTGTCTATTAGCACTGATCGCATGACTCACTCTCCAAACAATACGTTTGTTTCGATTGTTACAATAGTTCTTGAAGAAAGAATGGCTGAGCCCCGACATGACCCGACCATGTATACGCATCGGAGGCCAACTATCGGAGCTATAATAATAAATTATGCTAATAGATGTTTTTCTACAACACTCATGTCATCTATTTGAACAGAATGAAGAGACACCCAACACCTCCCGCCCCTGCCTTGCACTGATAAACTGCAATGGGTAGGATGCATAGACTGAGGGGTCTATGATGCAACATACACTTTCAGTATTTTAAAAAGTGATTTCATTCTCAGTTGTTGGGACCTCACCTCCCGACCCCCGATCCCCGAATCAGAGCTCACTCTATAGTCTATTAGCACTCACTCTCCAAATAGTACTAGTACGTTTGTTTCTGGTTTGTTTCTATTGTTACATGTTGACAATAGTTCTTAAATAAAGACTGGATAGTCAAGCGAAGAAATCGGTTTTGCAATTTCGATTTTAGCATGTTTGAATTTCGCGTAAATACTGTATTTTACACGCGTTGTATGTGTCGCAATGCCTCCCATATCGAACATGACTCCGAGCGACACCCGTAAGGCGTTACATTCCGTCTGATAATAAACTTGTTTTACACTATCGGTTAATGTCACGCATGAAATTAATTGTGTGACAATATGTGGTGAAACAAGACATATTTTACGCAAATCATCATACACAATTTAGAGATAAAATTATGTGTCATTATGTTTCCATGGTATGTTATTTGGTAGCCTGACAAGGTCGCGCGAGTTGCGCCCTCCGCGGTGCTTTAAACCCAACAAGGCACCACTCCCGCCTACAAGTCAGGCTAGTTACTTGAAAGACAGTCAACGCGTTGTAGAGACCGCGAGCAAAAAGTGGTCCCAGATTTCCCTTTTAGAGCACCGTGCCGCCACGTAAGCTCATTTTTTTGTGTTTGACTACTGACCGGGAACGGCTAGTTGTAAGAGCAGGCGGTAATTGTGTTCATATTATCTCGCATTTACTACATCTCGGTGAGCCGAAATACAAGATTAGCTGAAGGCAAGTCGGATCAGAAATTACAGCGTTATTCAGGTTGACAACAGGCTTTGGCATATCATAGTATAACTCGTCTCTACCAGTTGCTATGGCCATGTTTCGGTTGAACACGTACATTCGAAATAATGCCAAGCGTATCTATGTGTATTTGTGTTTATGTGTTTATTTCAACAGTACCAATTTGGTGAAGTAGTTCCTGAATTAAAATGGCACTGTCGTTAATTTTATTTTATTTAGTCGGGCTTCTGATATTAAAATACACAAGTTGTTCATTATCGTGACACGGCTATCACAGACTCGTCAAGTGGCTATCTCAAAGTATTTGCTATAATATTTACTGCTTAGATATTGAAAACGATTGTCACGCAGCGATCCGCGAAAGTGAATGATCGTCACGAGGACGAGAGCCTAATATAAATCGACGTTTATCGTCATGTACAATTCACTACTCCGTTCAATTACAATCGTCATTGACCATATACAGTGCTGTATAGGATATATATAGTGCCATTGGTAGAACCAATGGTAGCGAGAGAGCGTTTTGAAACTCGCTGCTAAACAATGCCTGATTCAATGCACACACACGTTGGAGTCGGTCGATTCTTTTGATCGTATTACAGTTGAGATAGGGGGCTCTGACCTACGTAGAGTCACTATGGTCGAAACTGAGTATCGAGCTACTAAATCAACTAAGGCGAGGTGAACTAATTGGGTTGGATACGATATCCGAAAGTGTGTGTATGGGAGGGAGTCACTTGGCGTCCCCGAGGCCAGTTGTGCTCCGTACTTTATTAACGACGATGGTACGCGCCCTAATATGTATTTGGCAGATAAAGAAATACTGCGATAGATTGATAGCTCAACGGGAAACAGAAAAATGGCGTACGAAATAATGCGACAAAAACTTAAACAACAAAAACAAGAACGATTGATCCAATGGAAATTGAAGAAACTTTTTAAAAACACCAAAGATAAAAATGTTAGAAGCGGTCACGGTACGGCGACGTGTTCCTAGTAGGTTTAGGCACTGTTCCGTTCGGCTCTGATCGAACTGAATTGAACGCTGGTATATCTAGGCCCTCGTTCGGCCCGACCGTGTAATTCCCTGTCAATCGGTGGGAGGAGCAGTAGTTCGGTTCCGATAGAGTGCTGTCGTGTGAACGTAGCATATTCACTTTTCAGTTTGCACGAAGAGAAAATGGCCAACTTGTACCGACTTTCAAGGGTTTGCGCATATTGATATAATGAAGACGAAACAAATTGCTGTTCTAATTACCAAATAATAACATGACTATACATACTAATTCACGTTGAACATTCACATATGTAGCAACTTTGCAACTTTTACATTTCATAATTTTCGGTGTAGCGTTTTAGAACTGATACTATAGTTCAGTCGTACACAATACTGGCTGAATATAGGATATAATATAGGCACGGACGAGGACAGCAAATGTTATTCACGCACAATTTACCACAAAATGCCATCATTTTCACAAGATGTTTATTTTAGTAGTGAAAGGCACTACAACTCCGCGATCGCAGTGTTTTGAAAGTTTCTGGATCTGTTAGCGGTTATTTTTTAATTCAATTTTTCAGACGGATGTCAGCGTCGTCGTGATAAAAGGCGAAGTCCTGAGAAATGCACCGGTCCTTGCCCATCTTATTCCAATTGCCAGTGTCCTAGAGGTATGGATTTATTTCAGAACACGAATTGTGATGTGATATGTAGATATTGTTTTATTTTACTATAATTCTATTGTCATTTTCAAACGTTATAGACAACACTCGATACGTAGCCCCTAAATAACGTTACATAGACGAGTATGGTCAGTTTATGGTATCCAACTACATATGTATTACGTAACGAAGTTCAGATAATACAAGTATATACGTCAGAAAGGATGGTCTGTAACGCATTGTCATTGCTTTAAATATCAGTTTGTTACTTATGATTTCAGCAAGCTGGGGTGGATGTGGCGACATCTCTGTTACCGTGGACACCAAACAATTGACCGGAACAACTGTACCTTGGGGGGTGCCGACATGCATGGTTAACGGGGAATCAGTAACGTAAGATTTCATGAAGACTTCATATTTGGCGTTCAACGCCTTTTTGATTTCCGCTCAATCTTGCTCGAATCTAATAATATACCTATTATATACTGTAAATTGTTGTGTGCTGCGATTTGCCTTAATTATCTTGACCTATTCTAATTATATGAAGTCTCAAATTATAATTGTCATATATGTGCATTCAATAAAACTCACAAACTGTTGAGATCACGACTTGATATTCTGCCATCCCTTACACAGTGTACATGGCTCGCGTAGTCCAGGAAGTTTTTTCAGTGAAGGTAAAACTACAGTGCGTTACTCCGTGGACACGAAATATGGTGACAGTGGGTGTGGATTTACAGTCACAGTAAAAGGCGAGTTTAATAATGTCCAGATTAATAAACAAAAAGTGATATTTCCCTATTGTATGGGGGCCTCGTGTTGAAATATTCATTGATACTTATGTGCAAGAATTTACATATTTATATTTTTAATACCTCTATTTGTATTCGTAAAACAGCCATTTGTGTTCGTAAAATCTCAATTTGTATATTTCGTACATTTCCCAGTCGTATTCGTAATACAAATTTGCATTTATATTTGTGAAATTTGATTTGTATATGTAATATCTTCATTTGTATTTATAAATCATCTATTTACTTTGTAAAATATCTAATAAGTGAGCAGAGAGGGCGCTACTTAGATAAAAACATTTGTATTTGTAAAACCTCCATTTATATCATTAGTATATATAAATTTGTATTCGTAGAATCATGTGCATCTGCGACAGATAAACAGAGGGAGCTCTTCGGTATTGACTTCGATTAAACACAGGTTCCAACATGGCGGCAATTCAGAATCGTTTCACTATACTGCCTGTCGTGCAAGGTTCCCAGACCAAATTCGCTAACCTGCTATCGTGTACTATCCTGTCGTGCTTGCTTTGCAGTTTCACTTTTTGTAATGTACTATCGTGCACACTAATAATTACACTTAGAATTTAATACATGTTGCGTGATAAGATGCGTTATAGCTCAAGAAATTACTGTACTGCGCAGTGCTATGGTATGTATATATTCGCATTGACTACGTTTTCATTACTTTAGTATCATTATAGTAATAACGATGAAAAAATAAAATTAATAAACAGTACTGACCGATTTACCTGGATTTTCAGTGATAGTGATCCACAGTCAATGTCTCATGACCTTTGATGATCTTCTGCCATCTTCAATAGTGCATGTATGAGCAGCGCCCTCCTTGCCCACAAATCACACAAGCAAGTGGTTTTGAGAATACGAATAAATATTTTACCAATATCAATGGTGATTTCACAAAGTACAACTGGACATTTTTAATAAAAATAGAAAAGGTGGTTTCACGAATACAAATGGAGATTTTTAGTGCAAATAGAGATGGAAGTTTCACGAATACAAATGGAGGTTTTAACAATACAAATACAAATTTCATGAATACAATTGTTTAGGAAAAAATGTTTTACGAATATAAACATGTCATTTATATGAATTTAAATATTTGTTGAACATAAATATTGTTAATGAATATTGCAATAATCCGCTTTCCATCGTGATAAACTACATATTATTTAATATGACTATAATTTTACATGTTTCAGTTAGGAGATGTAACACGATCACCGACCCAGAAAACGGATATAAATCGTGTTCACATAGTAACATTTACGGATCTGTATGTTCATTCTACTGTAACCATGGATATTATCTGAGTGGTAACCTACAAAGAGAATGTTCAAAGGATTCTGTTATGTACTGGAATGGAGAACCAGCAATCTGCAATGGTAACTACATCTAATTTTATTTTAATTCTAAATTTATTAATGCATTATTCAGCCAACACAACTGTAGCTTCCCAGGCATTTTTAGCGATTCACTTCCAGCTAGGACATCGATACGCTCAACAAAAATGACAAACAGATGAGCTACGTATTGCAATTATGTGGAACAATCTGAAAAAAAAACCGACGTACCTTTCTATGGCAACAGCCGAAAATCTTTTTTATACAACTTTCGTGCCAATCGTATTTTCTCCGACAAATGTGGAGGGAAAATCCTTATAGACATAACACATTCCACTCTGTTTCAGTGTGTCAAAAGGCACTATTTGGCTTT